ACCCCACCTCATGGGCCACACAGCCCCCACCTCACGGCCGCGCAGCACCCCAACTCACGGCTGCCCTGGGACAGGACCCCCACCACCACGCACGCCTTTCACTGAGCCCTTTCTCTGTGCCTGGCCCTGGGCTAGGGGGTGTTCTGCTGTCCAAGGAGGCTCCTGTCACACTCTGTGGCAATCACTCAGCCCCCACTCCCCTTCTTCTGAGGTTATTCCTCTCCCCCCCGCCCCCCCATCCCCCGGCACCTGCCTCCGGGACCCAGCTGACTGGTCAATGGGTTTGACATGGGGACGCCAGCTACCTGGCCGCTGGCCCTGGAGCCGGGAGGCCTATATCTTCTTCCAGGCGCATAGAGACTGGGCGACCATCCTTGGGAAAGAGAAAAGCAGCATTTGCTGGTTGCCCATAGCTCTCCAGTCCAGGGGTGTTGCAGTTATCTGCTGCCGGATAACCAACCGCCCCCAAACCCGGTGGCTCAAAGCAACCCTCTGCTATTGTTGCGGGTCTGTGGGTTGGCTGGGCCCAGTGCCCACCCACACTGGCAATTGTTTGGGTCTCAGCCAGGTGGGAGCCTCCAGCATGGCCCACTCAGGTGACTGTGGCTTTCAGAGCTGGCTGCAAGGCGCTCTCTCTCTCTCTCTCTCTCTCTCTCCACACAGGGTAGAGTTGACAGAGCTTTCTCTCAAATCTACAAATAAAAATTAAGAAAAGATAAATGGAGCTCATGTTTTCCCACAAACACTCGGATGGGGCGTGAGGCAGGCTGTGCAGAGGCCTCGGCTGGGGGGGGCAGGTCCCCCATCCATGTCACAGCTGAGAAGGTGCAGTGACTGTGAGGCTGGCCCTGCGGGCCCTGCGCAGGATGGCCGGCCGCAGTTGGGGTGGAGCAGCGAGTCCCTGGCTGGGATCAAGGCCTTGTTGGCAGGGAGAGTTGAGAAACCGAAGGTGGTGCTGAGGCCCTGGTGAGTCCTGCCAGGGACCCTCTGCATTAGCAGCAGTGCCACCCATCCCAGTGCTGGGGCTGCCCGAGTAGGTGAGGAGCCGGATTCCTAGGTTTACCTAACGCTGAGGCCTTTCTCAACCACAGCAGGAACCCAGTGTTGCTGCCTGTGACCATGAACGTCCAGCCCCGTGCACACAGTAGGTGCTTAGCAGATCCCAGTGGCCTCTCTCTTCCCCCTCCTCCCGGCAGTTATCAGGCTCACAGCTCAGCAGAGGGTGCACCAGGTCCTGGAGGAGCCTGGAGCTGCACCCAGGTGCCCGAGGGCAGAAGGGCAGGGTTGAACCCCAAAGGGGGGCAGGTAGGGGCTGGGCAGGGAGTGAGAGCCCCACCCAGCAAGCAGGGGGCCAGGGAGGGGCCCACGGAGCAAAGGCTGCCAGAGGCCACAGCCCAGAAGCTTGGAACTGGTGGACCGGGGGCTGCTGCTGTGTCCCCTGACCTGTCAGGCCCAGCTCAGTCCCCAGTCCAGGCTGAGCTGAGGGGGGTGGGACCTGGGATCCTGGGGCTGAGCCTCAGGATGGTCCATGAGAGCAACAAACGGTGGGGGCCTGGACCCAGGATTGCCATATGGTGAGGGGAGGGCTGCTCTAGCAGGAGAGTGCATGGCAGCTGGTGGGAGAAGCAGCGAAAACAGCCACCAGGGGACTGGAGCCCAGGCACCTTGGGCCAGAACGGGCGAGTTAGGGCTCCTGGTCAAAGTGACAGGAAGTTCACACCAACCAGCTCAGGCGCAGAACGGGGCTGAGGGGACCCCATGAAGGTGCTGGAGGAGGTGCCGGGCTCAGCAGTGTCATCAGCCCTCGGTCTCCCTGTCCTCTTGCCTCTGGTCCCCACCAGGACCTCACACCCAGGCAGGCCCCCTGGACGGCCCCAGCCCCACACTCAGCCCGCCAGCTCCGAGTTCACAGAATTCAGCCACCTGGGTCAGCGGATCCAGTGCCCGTCCAGGTTGGGATCAGGGCACAAGACCCAGAGGACTGAGAAGGCTCAGCAGTGGTTCCTCAAGGAGGAGGAGGGGTTGTTATCAGATGCCAGTGCCTGGGCGCTGGTGGACAGGACCCACAGGTGACCCCAAGGGTGGGGTCAGGGTCTGCTGGAAGCCCTGCCTGGACTAGACCCAGGACCCCCCGGTCCCTGTGTCTGGGGAGGGGAGCCAGCTCTTCCAGCGCTGCGTTGCCAGGCTCCGAGGAAGGTGGAGCCGCATCTGAGGGTCTTTCAGGCCCAGACTCCTGTGCTAACTCGTCATAATCCCCCCCACAGCTACTCCGGGTCCCCCTGCAATCCACCCTCTGCACCCCACTCCCTCGTTTCCCTGCTCGGCTGGATTAGCAGAAGGTCATGAGCAAATCCCAGCAGCAGGCGAGCCGGCATCTCCCCGGGGCAGCCGGTATTGCAGACGGTGCATGACTTTGTAACCAATATTTTTGTTCGTTTTTATTTCTTATTTTAAAAAACATAGATAAACAGGACTAGGCTAATTAGGATTTTTTCCTTTCCTTACGTCTTGGATAACGATGGGAGTCTCTTAGCCCCACAGTGAATTGGTTACCAGGTTTCAATAAGAGGTTTGTCTTTGCAATTACAGTTCATTAATGGATTTACAAGCAAGGGAAGATGGCGAGGTCCACTAAGGGAATTGTTCTGCGTTCTCCTCTTTTAATTACACGGTTTTCTCGTAGACCGGTGCTCTGTGAAAAATGGGGTGCAGGGGGAGTCCCAGCATGCCATCTGCTCCAGATGCAAATGCAATTAATAGGGAAGAGATAG